AAGACTGTAGATTAAAACTACAATGAGATACCATTTCCACCTATGAGATTGGCAAAAACTGAAAAGTAAAGCAAGGTATGTTGTCAAAGCTGTGGGGAAATAGGAACTCATATTACTGGAGAGAAAGTAAATTGATATAACCCTTTTGGAGAGGAATTTGGCAACACCAAAAGAAACTGTATAGGTGTGTCTGTTTTCATGCAGCAGTCCTACTTCTCTTAATCTACACTGAAGATAAACATCTAATTTAAAACGTATATATGTAAAAGATTTTTCATAAGAGCACTCCTAGAGATTTACAAAATACTAAAAAAAAAAAAAAAAAAAAACCACACATAGAATGGCTGAATCAATGCTGCAATGCTGTGTAGCTGTAAAAATAAGAGATGAGAAAACTCTGAACTGAAAATACAATGATTCCTAGGAACTATAGTTAAAAGAAAAAGCAAAGTACAAAAGTATCTCTAATGTATTACTTACCTTTCATATGTAAGAAAGAAACCAGGAAAATTACACTTAACTGCTCATTTGTGCAAAAGAAACCCAGAAAAAAATAAACTAAAACAAAATGAGAGTGGCCATTTACAGGGAGTAGAAAAAAGAAGAAATAAAATAGAGATACTTGCATATTTCTGACTTTCAGAACCAGGCTAGTGTTTCACAGATTTTTATTTTTTTTTAAATCAAAAAGAATGTGGGTAAAGTTCTAAGAAGATAGACACATACCAAATTGTATTTCATATGAATAACCTAACTATGCTAAAGGGAAAAGTTTTAATTTAAAAACAAAAGACAAATAAGATCTCAAGTACCTCTGCAAAGAATACATGGGTTTGATGCAGTAACGATAAAATGCAGTAAAGTACTCTGGAGTCAGACTGCTTGGATTCAAATACTTGCCAATTTATCCACGTGCTGTGTAACCCTGGACCAGTTAATTTATAATCTCTGTAGTTTGCCTATTCCAAATAATAATAGTACCAATCTCACAGTACTAATGGTAAATCTCAAATAAAACTACTCATGTAAAACCTCACTAGATCATTGAGCATGTAAGTATTTGGTAAGTTTTGCTATCATCAACTACTAATCCAAAAAAAACACTGAATATGTGGGTATCCAAAAGACAGACATATTAAAAATGGAGTCCTTGTCATGTAAAAAATTTGTAATTTTCTAGTGTTCAAGAAATTTACAATAGCAAAATCCATATGTCTGGCTGGAATCATCTAGGAAATTCATAAAGAAAGAATCTTACACTTTATATACATGCAGGATTTAGATAGCAGAAGAATAAGAGTGATATGTGAAGATAACAGGAATCTGAATAAAAGCAGAGAGGCCATAAAGACCAATATAGTTGAACTCTGACACAGAAAAACGTTAGGAAGCTGAGTGTTTGGAGATTAGGCAAGACTATGGAAGCTCCTGAATGACCAATTGAATGGGGCAAGTTTTATTTTCTAGACTATGAGGAATCACAGAAGATTTATATGTAGGAGAAACAACATGATCAAACTGAACTGTGTGACTATTTCAGTGCTGACATGTAGAAGAGGTTACAAGTGAGATCAGAGGTAGAGTGTTAGAAGTGTTAAACCAAAGTCTGAATGACAAAGTGAATGATACAGTCATTTGAAGGAAAAGAAAAAAAGAATGGGAACCATCAGAAATAATTTCCACTGGGTTGTACGAGTTAAGTCAGGAGGATGGACTTTGGGTCCAGATGGCAATGTAGGCAGACATGGCTCGCCTCTTTGCACATCCCCATCAAAATTATAACTAAAAAGTATAGGACAAACATCACTCAGGAATATCAGAAACTGAGTTGAATGAAGTCTGACAACTACAGAACTGGAGAAACCACATCCATCCAGACTGGTAGGAGGGTTGTGTACTGAATGGACTGGCCCCAAACCCACATGGTTAAAAATTCAGGAGGGATTTCTCAGGAGTGAGGAGTCCCCAGGCCCACACCAAGCCCCCAGCCCAGGATTCCAATGCCAGGAAGATAATTCCCCACAAGTTCGGGCTATGAAAACTAGCGGGGATTGAATCAGTGGAGGAGACTGCTGGAGCTCTAGGCAGCTCCTCCTGGGGAACCTACACAGGGACCCACCTACTCAGACTCGCTCCCTCTGAGCTCCAGCACCCGGGTGGTAGCTTGAAGGGCACCAGTGGTAAACAGGGAGAGACTTAAGAGGCTGGCATTAGGGCAAGCAGAGGCCATTGTCCCGCTGCTGAGCCCTCCACCCACAGAGCTGATAGGCTGGTACCATGTCTAAGACTCCATCAACCTGGCTCTGTGTGACCCACCTTGGAGGTCCATAGAGGCTCTATCCCACTCAACTTAAGAACCCACCCAAACTGTTTTTCTATAAGAATGGCCAGTCTTGGCTCCCAAATCCTACCAAACAAGCAACAGCAGGCTTCAGTGAACCCGCTCTGGTAGCCAGATTAGACTCACAGCTTGGTTTTTCCTAGGAATCTCCAAGTCCAGCACAGGTAGCAGCCATCTCTGACTGCTTTATAGCTCAGGAATGGTGTCCCGGGCAAACACCGGTGGGGGCAGACCCTGGTCAACACACCCAGTGGACAGCTACAGACCATGTCAGAAAACCAGCACCCTGCCCCTGCAAAGCTGATCCTCCACGGAGAGCGTAGGCTGGAGTCAGTACTAACAGCCAGTCCTTGCAGCTGACTGGCCTGGATAAATCCCTCCCATTGATCTGCCAACAGCAACCGAGGCCCAACTACAAGAGGAGGGTGTACTCAGCCCACACAAGCAGCACACCTTAAGTACCCAGCTTGGGTGATAGGGGAGACTGTGCCCCTGGACCCCTAAGGACACCTACTACATTAGGCCAAACCACCAAGACACGGAGTCAAAGCAGGTCTACCTAATACATAGAAACAAACACAGAGAGGCTGCCAAAACAAGGAGACAAAGAAACTTGGTCTCAGTGAAAGAACAGATCAAAACTCCAGAAAAAGAGCTACATGGCTAAATGAAATGGAGATAAGCAATCTATCAGATGCAGAGTACAAAACACTGGTTATAAGGATGCTCAAAGAACTTAGTGAGGACCTCAGCAGCATAAGAAAGATCCAGTCAGAATTGAAAGCTTCACTAACTGAAATAAAGAACAATTTACAGGGAAACAACAGTAGAGTGGATGAAGCTGAGAATCAAATCAATGATTATGAACATAAGGAAGCTAAAAAGAAGAAGAAAAAAAAAGAAAACAAGAACAATAAGAAAAAGAATCACCCCAAAATGAGGATAGCATAAACATCCTCTGGGACAACTTTAAGAGGTCCAGCATTCATAGGGGTGCCTGAAGGGGAAGAGAAAGAGCAAGAAATTGGAAATCTATCCGGAAAAATAGTGAAAGAAAACTTCCCTAATTTGGTGAAGGAAATAGACATGCACGTCCAGGAAGCACAGAGAGTCCCAATTATGATGGATGCAAAGAAGCCCACTCCAACACACATCATTATTAGAAGGCCAAAGATTAAAGATAAAAAGGGACTTAAGAGCAAGAAAAAAGAAGCTAGTTGCTGGAAAGTTTCCAGATGGGAGGGACAAGGGGGAGAGCAGGTAAAGAGGTGAGGGGATTAAGAAGTACAAGTAGGTAGTTACAGAATAGCTATGGGGATGTAAAATACAGTATAGGAAATGGAGTTCAATTCCAAGCCAAAGAACTTATATGCATGACCCACAGACAAGAACAATGGTGGGGGGGATTACCTGAGGAAGTAGGGGGCATTGGGTGTAGGGGGCAAACAGGAAAAAAAATCAGGACAACAGTAATAGCATAATCAATAAAATATAATTTTAAAAAAGTTAAGTCATTGTTGTATAAGAAGCCTTGCCAATTTGAGATAATAGTGCAAAATTCAGATAGCAAGATCCAGTGGGCATCTGGCAACATGGGACTAGTGCTTGGGAAAGAGAGAGAACTGATGAAAAAAACTGTATATTTTTTTCTTAAAAAAAGTAAAAACTACTTTAGAATGTTCAAGACATTCTAAAGCATAGAGATACTAGACTGTGTGCTATTCCAGAGCAGTGATCACTTATTTTTATATCCCTTAATGTTTAGCATAGTTTCTAATACAAAGGATGCTCTCAGTAAGATGTTGCAGAGATGGAAGGAACAGAGATAGGAACAGAACTTCAAGGCTAATTAATGGCAGAGCTTTGACTATAGTACCGGTTTCCGGACCCTCCACTATACCGTAACACAAAGATGACCTCCAAACCTTCATCATAGAATCCCCTAAAGAAATGGTGTAAGAAATGAAAACAAAATCAACTGTGGAGAATGCTGGCTTCTACTGGCAGACAGAAGAGAGACATAAGGAGACAGTAAAGAAAGGTCAGGGTTATGAGCAGGATGTGGGCATGGGAATTAGAGTGTTGAATCACAGGTTCAAAGGAAATTTTTAAAGAAAGGAAGCATAGTGAAAAATATCAAATGAGTCCTGGCTAGTGTGGCTTAGCAGACTGGGGGCTGCTGGTTCGATTCCCAGTCAGGGCACATGCCTGAGTTGTGGGTCAGGTCCCCACCAGGGGGCGCATGAAAGGCAACCACACACTGATGTCTCTTCTCTCCCTCACTCCTTCCCTTCCCCTCTCTCTAAAAATAAATAAATAAAATCTTAAACAAAACAAAAAAACAAACCTCAAATGATCCTCTGCTACACCAGTGAAACCCAAGGCAGGGAGAGGTAACTTTTACAAATATAAATTAAGATATTTTCATCTACTTGTAACAGCATTTTGACTATAAAATTGCAAAATAAAATTGCAATCTTCTGTAAACTTTTCTCTACAAAATACATGACATAAAATAAAGTCACTATAGTTAAGTAGTTGAGTTAAATAAAAATATGCACAGTAAATGAAATCTGAAGCAAAAAGCAGCAACTGAAAAAAAAATAATCATTTATATGTACTGATAGAAACAAAATACATGAAATACTGAAGATCTTACCTTAAATCTCTTGTCCTGCAATACTTTCTTGATGGCAACCAATTCTCCCGAATCACAAAGTTTGGCTTGATATACCACACCAAATGATCCATTTCCAATCACTTTAGTGTCTGTATAGCTGACTTCTTGTGGTCTGTCTGGACCCTGCCCAGGAGTCGCCACCACTGTGGTCACCTTACTGCCATCCTTGTCTCCTAAAAGAAAAAAAGTTAAAGAAAAATGAGAAACTGTGAAGAATTAAACAGAAAATTGCTCAGTATACATATTAAACTATATTCTTTGCCACAAACTATTTTTAAATCTTTATCTTAGTATATCATATAGAATTACTTCAACTATTCACTTCAGTTTAAGTATTTGTTTTTTTAACCAGTCATTCTACAGACCAGGCATCAGGCTTTATACATGACTCCATTTAATAAAAACACCACCACCATGAAGTTGATAAGTACTGCTCCCATATTACACATAGTGGGTGAAAACGGTGGACCTAATAGGATTTTAATCCTTATCTGTCCAACTCTAAAGACCCTAGTTATTTCCTCAAGGCTTCTTTATTTTATTTGAAAATAAAATATGTGAGGCTGAAAATATCTAAATATGCTAACTCTATTCACACCATTCTGCCTTTAGGAAAGTAAGGCTTGGAGTTTTTTGCTTTTCCATATTATACCATTTCCTTTTAAGAAAATAGTGGGATACCTCGCAGAGAAAGGTCTGATGGAGAAAAGGAACAGGGAAAGAATGTTGATTTGGGGGTAAGAAATGAAAGTTTAAAAGAAAAATCAAAACCATTCTGAACTTCTGCCTCATTCCTAAGAAGCTCACTGGCTCTGAAGTCTCTGCCCACTCGTGGGCCTCTCCTTACCTTTTATGCCCTCCTTCCCTCTGCCAAGGAACAACCCAAAGACTACAATTCAAGCTCAAGAGCTACTTCCTACTTGACCTGGCATGGTTAACAATCATCTTTTTCTCTGAATTCTTAAGCTATCCTAAACCATTCTAGGATACCTAGCACCTAATTTTAGAGCTTTAACTTATTCTTTTACTGATTTCAGAATACACAGATATTCTAATGACCAAAATCATCTGAAGGAGCAATTAGGACTTCTGCTTCTCTTCTCTCTTCCCTAACAAATCTATAACCAATTCTCAGTACAATATTAGTCCACAGGCTCAATACTACACGACCCACTTTCATTTTATCCTCTACTACTTTATCAATTTTACTCTTAACGTGCTAAATGAATTCATAAATGATGTACTAAAATATAATGTGAGGAAGAATCAAGATGGCGGAGGAGGGAGTGGAAGTCACACTGACCTCCTCCCAGGACCAATCTAGAAATACAACTAAATTGTGGAGAAACCACCTGGAACAAACAACTGAACAATAGTGAGAGAGGAGCCTTGTAACCTTGAAGACAGAAGAATCGGCTTTAGCGCAATCTAATCGGTAAGGAGTGCGGTACAGACCTGAGAAGGCAGGCGGGGCGCCCACGGGTGGCAGCACCAGGAGGATATTGAAACAGCCAGTTGGATCCCCCTGAGAAGAGCGGGGTCTAAACCAAAAGCGGGGATCTCTAGCCCACAGCACCAGAGCCCAGAAAGTACACAGAAAACAGCCAGCTGCGAAAAGCAGAGGGTTGCTCTCTGCCAGAGACAGGCGGTTGGAGATGCAAAGAGCCTTTTAAAGGGCCAACGCAAAATTTTTATTAGCAGCCACTTACCATGATCTCTGGCAAAGGCGGGGGCAGAGTGGGCTAGAGATGCCCCAGAAAAGACTGAGGAAGGAGGTTTTGGGGAGAGAACTGAGAGAGTAGCCGGCGGGATCTCGGTGCTGACTCATTCCCCGTGCAGTAGCATCCATCTTGCTCAAGCTGAGACCACACCCTCAGAAGGCACTAGCATCAAAGGACCCAATAGCTCCGCCCCCAGGTGGGATTCCACCCCGTCCTGTGCTGTCCTGTGCTGTCTAAGCCGCCTGCTGAGTGCAGAGTGGCAGCCACAGAGAGCAGATCCCTGGAAGTCTCCAACAGACTGCCTAAGGTCAGGCAGGGTCAACATCTGACATCATCAGAGGCAGATTCAGAAAGTAAAAACAGCGGTCTCCTACCATAGAAGTTCACATCACAAAGTCAGGAAATCAAGACAGATCAACTTAAGAAGCAGAAGCAAAAGAGAAGAGTCTCACAAATAATGGGAAGACCAAGAAATATGCCTCGCTCGAAGGGAAAGGAGGAATCCCCACAAAGAGAACTCAATGAAATAGAGGCAAGTAAACCATCAGATATTGAGTTCCAAACAATGGTTCTAAGGATGCTCAATGAGCTCAGTGAGCTCAGAGAGAATTACCAAAACTACAAGGAAACTATGAGGAACTTACTGCAAAACTCTATCCGCATGAAAAAGGACGTAGAAACTATCAATAAGAGACAAGAGGAAATGGAGAATACAATTTCTGAATTGAAGAACCAGGAGAAGGAATCAGAAGCAGGCTAGATGAAGCCGAGCATCAAATCAGAGAGCTGGAGGACAAGGTAGAAAAAAGCTCCCACAAAGAGCAAGAAAATGAAAAAAGACTTAAAAAGAATGAAGAGGCCTTTAGGGAAATGCAGGACAACCTGAAACATAATAATATCCGTATAATAGGGATACCAGAAGGAGAAGAAGATGAGGGAGGGATGGAGAACCTGTTTGAAAAAGTCACGATGGAAAACTTCCCTAATTGGAGGAGAGAAAAAGTCACACAAGTCCAGGAAGCACAGAGGGTCCCATTCAAGAGGAACCCAATGAGGCCTACTCCAAGACACATCATCATTAAAATGGCAAATATCAAAGACAAACAGAGAATCCTGAAGCAAACAAGGGTGCAAGAGGTAGTAACATATAACGGAGCCCTGATACAGCCAGCTGCTGACTTCTCGACAGAAACACTGCAAGCCAGAAGGGAATGGCAAGAAATATTCCAAGTCATGTAAAGCGAAGGCCTGCAACCAAGAGTGCTCTACCCACCAAGATTCTCAGTTAAAATGGAAAGCGAAATAAGGAGTTTCCCAGACAAAAGAAGGCTAAAGAATACACCTCCACCAAACCAGCACTGCAAAATATGCTAAAGGGACTGCTTTAAGATGAAGAAAAAGTTTCTATGAATACCCAGTTCCTTTCAGGGCTGCCAATACTTGCTATTACCAATATTTTTAATACTCATTAATCTCATTGTGACAATGATGTTATTTTAATTGTTCCTTTACTATTCGTTGAAACTAAACCTGTGTTTGTATATTTCTTGCCTATTTCTATTATTATTTTTTTTTTTTTAAAAAGCTTTACATGACTTTTCAGTATTCTTTATCCATTTTATTGATTAAAGGTTTGTAGAAATTTTTTCCCTGGAAAAAAAAACAAACAAACAAACAAACAAACAAAACACCGAAAACCTATTAACCACGTTTTAGATGTGCTGCAAATACTTTCCTATTCTATTCCTTGTCCTTTAACTTTTTTTATATGTATATTACTATATAGTTAAAGGTTTAATATAGTCATATTGTCAATATTTATAGCTTCTGGGGTTGAATATTTTACTTCAGGTCATGAAAAATATTAGTTCTATTTTCTTCTCAAACTCCTTTGATTCTACATATTGATTTTTAAGTCACCTGAATATTTCTTGTGTAATGTGTGAAATAGGGCTCTACATTTGTTTTATTTCAAGTAATAGTGGTCTACGCACCTTCTTTGTTGAATAAGCCTTATTTTACCCATTGATTTGAAATATCAACTTAATCATATATTATATTGTTAGACAGATATATACGTTTGTCTCTAGAATGCTCATTATATTTCATTGATCTACTTGATTATTTCTGTGCTGGTGTCATATTGGTTTAATTGCTGAGACTTTATAATGGTTTTAAATTTTTTTAGTATTTTATAATTAACTCTGACATTTAAAAAATAAAAATCAGTCTGCATTTAAGAAAGAGAGATAGAACTCCTACTTTTTGTGACAACATGGATCGAAATGGAGAATATTAAGCTAAGTGAAATAAGCCAGTTGATCAAAGACAATTATCATATGATCTCACCTATAAGTAGACTCTATTCAACAAAATAAACTAATGAACAAAATAAGCCACAGGCACGGAAACATGGAGCAGACTGAGAGTGACCAGAGGCAGGGGTGGGGGGAAGAGGACAATGGTGGAAAGAAGGGGAAGGGACTAGAGAAAGAACAATGAATGACCCATGGACATGGACAACAGAGTGGAAATTGACTGTGGGAGTGGGGGGTAGGGGTGAGATGAGTGGAGGGGGTAAAGGGGGATATATTGAGACTACTGTAATAGAATAAACATGATTTATAAATTAAAAAATAAAAAACAATAAAAAATAAAAAAAGATAATGTACTATTTAACTCTAGATACCAAATCAGGATTAAGTATTCATTTGTACTTGATATATAAAAAGATATAAAAATATAAGATAATTTTCCAGTGGTTTGAGTGTTTTCCCCTACCAAATATAACACTGTGTAATCATTGAATATCCAAATATTAGTGGTATACTATAACCAATATTTATGGCCATTTCAGTTCATAGAGGTATTAATATACACAAAAGTCAATAATAGGCAGTATATATTATATTATGGCCAGCTACCTGGAACATGTATGTCTTTAGTTCCAAGGTGAAACATCCCAACAGGTATGTTTTAGCTAGCACAAATCGAAACACACTTGTAGAAAGAACAACTCAAATCTTGTCTACACCAATCATTTTTATTTACAACAATATCACATACGCCTTAAATGTATACAAACCCCAGCACAAGCCAATACATATGTAACAGTTCTCAAAGCTTTTAAATGTTCCATTCACATCTCACTTCCAAGTAAAATAAACCTTAAAATAACTTGCTAAAAAAACTAGTTTAATCTGAATTCTAAATCATCATGTTCCATTCCTCCAAAATAATCCATATTACTTTTGTTTCTTACCATGTTAATCTTAACTCAATTCTTCAGGTTGACTATAAACCTGTAAGTTATTTTCTTCTTCATTTGAAAAATAAACTTCTATTATAGCACTCCTAAAGACAGAACACAGCCATTTGAACTTAAACTCTACATAAAGAGATCTAGAAAACTTAGATCCAGAAAGACTAAAATCCAAGGTATTGAACACATT